TATATATATATATTAATATTTATTTTGCTATCCAGTTATAATATTGTTTTATATTAAAGTCAGTTTACTTTTTTTTTTTTTAAATAACACAGTAAAGAAGACTTTTTGATGGCAGCATGTGAAATACCAGTTTGGACGTGGTAAGTATGTTTCTAAAACTTTGCAAGGAGACATGGTAATGTAATAAAAATGTTATAAATACGTTTCTGCAACGTTGTGAAAAAACATTTATAATGTGGAAAAAACCTGACATCTGTCATATTAAATACGTCAGATAAAAACTTTATCACAACCTTTTCACAACGTGAATTAGTTGTGTTTGCTGGGTTACTAGTCCAATTATAACTGCAGATATATAATATCATTCTGACTATTCAAATTATAATTATGACTCATAAAGATACAACTGTTGATTCAATCGTCATTATGACATGTCAAAATTGCAGAATTGATATCTGTAATTTGTATTTTACCTACATTACGACTAGTAGAGCCGTCTTTAAATGCTAAAACGGCTTGCCATACATTTCGTCAAGGAAGGGAACTTCAACAGATAACCCGTGCTGAGTGACTAGGGGAGCAGTAAACACTGAGAAGGTGCCCTGTCATTCGGAATTGTTACAATTGGTAAATATAATAGGAGTAGAGTAAAAAGTTTGCATCCGCGGCAGTTTTTTTCCAGCCACGTAACGGGCCATTGAAGCGTGATATTTAAACATGGACTGGTGAGTAACATGCGAAGCATTCCCATTAAACTTTGATATGAGGACCAACAATAACGTAGTACGTTGCACTGAGTGTAGACATAAGAGTCAAGACGAAGCCGCTAACACAGTTACGCCGTGACAACGTAACTGGACCGGACCATATTAGGTATACATATAGGTACCAAATAACGTTCCAGCGACGTAAATTTGTGATTCCCATATTCGTCGTGGGGACATTATAGCAGTACGTTGCTGAAACGTGGCGAGTACGTCTCAATGACCAAACTGGCACGTTGTGAAGACGTGACCTTATGCAGCGCATACGGGGAGGGGGGGGAGGGTTGGTTTCGGGTAGTGTTGGGTCGTTCTTGAACGATTCGTTCATTTTGAATGAATCTTTAATGTGACTCGGGAGGAACGAGTCGTCTCGGGGAGTGATTTGTTCAGTCGCGCATGCGCAACATCATATAGGTTCTGTACTGGAATTAGTCAAGTAGTTCACCTATTTCGAGTCTTCCGCTGCGTCCGAAATCGCATACTGCTTAGTAGGTACTACATTTAAATTTGAACGTACTACCCGACCGTTAAAACAGTACGTTCTATATAGTATGAATGCGAGTAGTATGAATGGAATTCGGACGTACTACATCCGCCATGTTGATGTTGTCACGTGACATGCTTCTTCACAACAGCGCCAAAATTTAAAGAGCCCTCACTACTGCGCGAACATCAGCAATGTTTTACGCAATTCTTACCGTTTTCATCAGCGTTTTAACGTTGAACAGAATGTGCATTGTGAAGAGATGTCCAACTTAAATTTTGAGAGTAAAGAATTACAGGGATAGTACATATGAAGAATCTTATAGTAAAGTTCTTTCATCTTGTTAGGTAACAGAAACTTGTTAATGCCGGCCCATATTTTAATAGTAGAAAGAAAAGGGTCATTTATTTTCCACTTATAAAATGCTTTAGGATGACAACTAAACTAATTTTTCTAATCCAGAAATGGTTACATTTAACATAAGAAAGCTCCAGACCTCCAATACAAATTTTTGGCATTTCACATTTTGAAGATCTGTAACAATTCCTAACCTTTCCACGCAGCACATTCTGATTAAGAATTGATTAGTTCATCTCTCGAGTCTTTCGAATCGTTCGTTCTTTTGTCACGTGACGTGACAGCATTGAATAGAGAAATTAGTTAATTTACAAGCTTCCTTACAAATGGGTGCATAGTTATTATTATTATTATTATCATCATTATTATAATTATTATTTACTCTTACAGTTATGTGAAAATTGTAGCTTTTTACTTCTTACAGTTTATAAATGTGTGAATTTCTGTCATGATGCTTATTTTCCATAACACTGAATGTTGTAACAAAGGTAATAAAGAGTTGGTTATTATTATTAAGTCTCTTTCCGGCTCAGACTGCATTGGTTAAAGCGTATGGGGCTGTCACGTGATGAACGAGTGACTCGAAAAACCCGAAAACTCGAGTTGAACTAATCAATTCTCTTTCCGGCTCAGACTGCATTGGTTAAAGCGTATGGGGCTGTCACATGATGAACGAGTGACTCGAAAAACCCGAAAACTCGAGTTGAACTAATCAATTCTCTTTCCGGCTCAGACTGCATTGGTTAAGTTTATGGGGCTGTCATGTGATAAACGAACAATTCGACTTGTCAGATAAGAGGTGAGGTGAGCTAATCATAGACTGAAGACCCAGGTAAACAATTAATTCATCTTTTCTGTTTCTTATTGCAGTTTTGTATTATTTGTAGTGTGATCAACGTTTGCGTTAGTAGACGTGTTAGGGAAGTAACACGTAACATTTTAATTGTATTTTGCTAAAATGAACGAAGTGAACGAAATGACTCGAAAAAAGATTCGTTCATTTTGCTGAACGAGACTCAAAGGTCCGAGTCTGTAAAATGATACGAACTTCCCATCACTAGTATCGGGTAGGGTGTGCTTGGGGTTGGGGGGGGGGCAAATGTATCAATTATTATATTATTATTATATTAATTTATTATATTAATTTAAACAATTATTATCAAACAATTATTGCATGTATATCAAACTGCGTGTTTTCTGCATAAAAATAAGGGTCGTTTTTGGCTTTGGACTATAGGCAGAAGGGCTTTGAAAAATGCTAATTCATTCTCCCCTCATTCTTTCGCTTTTCGCCAGGACTATAGCCATTTCCCCGGTAACCGCAGTAAAGCAGCGCAGCACCTGTTTTTGCAACTTGCAGCACTCATATTTAATCAATTAAACCAAGCCTTTTGAAGTGTAAGCTATATCTCAATTTGCATGTATATTTGTTTTCTTCACCGGAGCACCACCTGAGTCTTCTCCTCCCATCTCATTTCTTCCAGTGATCCTTTTCTTCACGCGGTCATCACTGTTGTAGGTTGCCACGTTCAGGGGACAAATGGGTTGAAATTTGTATGTGTCGATTGTGTGAGAAGGATGCGTTTCATCCAATATCTGGCAACTGGACAACCTTGGAATTTATTGACGTGATTATTCATATAATGAGGTTTGGGCCATACAAATTACGGGAGTTTTACAGGAGGCAAATGTAGCAAACATATAAAATACGCACAGTGGGATTTTTTTATAGAAAGATTACAAATACGGGAGAAATACGGGAAAATATTTAAACGGGATGATAGCGGGATAGAATGGTAAAATAATGAAGAATCCCGGGAAAACGGGAGGGTTGACAGGTATGATGCAACGACGTACCAAATAACGTACTGGTGACGTAACTTTGTGATTCCTATTTTCGTCGTGGCGACGTTTTAGTGGTAAGTTCCTTGAACGTGGCAAGTACATCCTAACGACCAAAATACCACGTCCACTTTATTATTCTCACCTTTAGTCCGGGTCTTGAGGATGTGTTCGAACCTTACATTGAAATCCATTTAGAACTTATAAGCATTCTCTGCTGTAAAAATAAACCTTCTAAATTCTAATGGTTTAAAGTGCTACAGGGGATTTTTTGTGAATACATTCATTACATACATGCAATGCAAACCAATACAAAAACATATTACATTCTAATAGAAAACGAAAAAACACACTGCATTCATTTATTAGTCAGCATTTATTCAGTTCCTTTTCAGTCGGTCACTACGAGTCACGTCGTGACCGACGAATTGGGATATCGCTTCGATAGACCAATCTACTTTGAGTGTAAACTAAACGAGCCAATGCACATTGGCATGCAATTATCCAGCTGCCGCTGATCACAGCGTGAGTATAATAAGGCAGCAGGTGCAATGCATACCAGCTTTTCACTTCGGAGCCGAGCGACAACATCGTTCTGCTCTATGTTTATTTCGAGAACTACGAGTTCAGCATGCTCTGGGAAGCTTTCTGTGTTGGCGGGACGGGGCTTCAGCGGTGGTCGTTCCAGTGTCGAGTGGGTTGCGCACTTCAGGCTGCACTACCCCCTGTCGTGTTGCAAAGCGGCCATCTCCCCTGTGCACCTCAGCACTAAAAGAGCATTTCCTAAAAAAGAGCAAATTTCTCTAAAAGAGCTACACGGGTGGGTCTTTATAAAGATGACGGATCGTCCTTATAAGGATGCCGTTTCACCCGTGCGTTTCTGGGTGCGGTCGTTACCTGGCACTGGGTGATGGTCACGATTGCTGCCTCACGTGTCTGGGCATTAAGCACACTGAGGTGGCCTTCGTGGATGAGCCATGCTCTCATTGCGAGAAGATGACCATCTCGGAGCTGCGAACCAGGCTCCGCTACTCGCAAGGGGGCGGAGTCCCGTTGCCGCTGCCATGATCTGGGGCTCGTTCTGGCGGAAGGCAGACGGGAACCACTTCCAGCAGTAGCGCGGGCGGTTTGAGGGTTACAGTGATGGCAAAGCCCGCAGGGAACCAACCCTCTGGGGACCATCACTCCTCTTGCTCCTCCGATCCAGTGGAGCGACCCACAGAACGCGCTGAGCCCTCTTTAAAGAGCGTACCAGCGGTATCCAGTGGACCTCCCCCCGACCAGATGTCGATCTCAGCATTGGAGGGAGAGCTGTCCGATGAGAATTTGGTTGCGCTGCCGCCCTCCGGGATGGTGGCAAAGCCTGAATCGGATCCGGAGATGACAGCTATGCTTTCCCGGGCCGCCGAAAGAGTTGGGCTCGAGTGGAAACCTCCACCGCGTCCCGAACCCTCAAGGCTGGATGATTGGTTTCTCGGGGTGGTTTGTGCTGGTTCTCAGCGCCCCCCCCTGGTGCCTTTCTTCCCGGAGGTGCATGACGAGCTCATCAGGTCGTGGATGGCACCTTTTACTGCCAGAAACCGGCCGGTGGGCTCCTCCTCCCTCACCACCCTCGACAGTGGTGCAGCGAAGGGGTATTTGGCGGGCGGTAGCGATGCAATTGTGTCCTAAGTCCCCCTCCTCCTGGCGGGGAGACCAGGTATTTCCTTCCCGGGCCTGTAGGCAGTGCCTATACAGCTTGCGGGGAAGCTGCTTCCGCCTTACACGCTATGGCGTTACTGCAGGTACAGCAGGCTAAGGCACTGAAGGACCTGCATGAGGGTGGTCACGATCCGGAAGATCTGAAAGACCTGCGAACCGCCACTGACCTCGCGCTCCGAGCGATGAAGGTCACCGCGAGTTCTCTGGGTTGTGCGATGTCCACGCTTGTGGTCCAGGAGCGCCATCTCTGGCTGTGTCTGGCAAACATGAGGGATACCGACAAGGTTCGGTTCCTCAATTCCCCTGTGTCCCAGACCGGCCTCTTCGGCGACGCAGTTGAGAGCTTTGCCCAGCAGTTCTCGGCTGCCCAGAAGCAGACTGAGGCGATCGGACACATCCTGCCCCGGCGGGCAGCTGCTGCCTCCATCTATCTGCCGGCTGCAGCGCCCCAGCCTGTTCGTCGCTGAGGGCGGGCCCCCGCGGCCGCCCCCGCGCCACACC